TCCCAGGGAGGCCTGTAGAAGAGTAGTGAGTCTTTAGGTCATTAAAAGATTATATTGCTATGACGAAGACTGACATGGTGGGGGGACACAGTGGCAACCAAATCTATGAATTTCTAGACTTTGAAAAACAGATTTTGTAACTTAACGTGCTTTCAGTAGAATACAAAGTTAGTAAAAGCTCACTAAATGCATTTAAAAATTGAGACACTGGTGATGTTGCTACTCACACCACTTTCCCCTGTTAGTCTGTGCCAACGCAAGAAGACATAACAACAGAAAGCTGTTACCTTCTATGTGGACTATTACTACAGCTTGTCACTGTTTTCAGTTAGTTGTTTTCTTGCCAAAGATTGAGGAACTTTACATTGAGTTCCAAGTTCTGCAGCAGCATGTGCTCCACTGATTATGAATTATTTTTACACTCTGCTCCTGGCTTGCATTCCTCATCTTAGTGTCTGTTTTTTAACAACCTTTGGCAGCAGTAGGAAAATGGCAAGGAAAGTTTTGTTTGGTTTCTGCAGAATGGAGCTTGTGCTGGAAAGGTCTGATGCCATCAAGGCAAGGAAGCAGAGAAGGGCAGCATCGCTCTCCAAGTGAACTGAACCAATCTCCAAAGTGTTCTCCACTGAGTTTGTATTAAGTGTGCATTTTCTAATGTTTATACAAATCTGAATGAATCTTAACAGATACAACAAGAGGTGCACAGGTGTCATTTGTGTTCAAATTTCTATTCACTCCTTCAGTGTCTGAAAACACGAAATCTTCTATGTTATAATAGCCAAAATAATGTATATTCCCAGATTTGTTCTAAGAAATGGTTAGGTTATTTTGCAGGGGCTTCTGTAAAGAAAACAATTACTTTTTTCAAGTCAACTGATACATGAAATTTCCATACATATAATCTGTAACTGATATTTTAAAAGTTATTATCTCAGACTTCTTCTAATATGGTTGTACTGTCAGTATGGGATCTTAAACGGATAATGCAGAGGTATCGTGATTTTTTGTTTTACTCCCTCACTTCTAATCAAGATTAGACACCCATCTAGTTATGTTATATACAAGATTTCTAAAGGTTTTCTACTGGCTGCAGATTGTGCATATTAAAGAAAAATTTGTATTTCTCTTGCAGTTGCAGCACAGTCTTGGATTGATGCCCAGATCAGACCCAAGATGTGTATCTCAGCATGCTCTGTCATGTGCTATTGCTTATAAAGCTCACAACTGTTATATAGCTGGATTACTGCCTTAAGCATACCTTGCCTTTCAAGGAGAAGGTTTAAACAAAACAAAACTGTTGTTCTCTTCGGAAAGTTTGATGAGAATGTCAGCATGATCAGGCAAGCTGGGAATATTTTCTTAAGAGAAGATCTGGTGATTATTATATTCTTTGTTTCCAGCAACATCTAGCTATTTTCTCTAGCAATTCTCTAGTTTAATCTCTTCCATAACAGAAAAATAACACACAAAGAATGAGGCTATTAATTTTTTGAGTTTTTTTTTTTCTTGAACATGCCAAGTTCTTAAATGACTATGAACCAGAAATACTGCTACCAGAGAATTACCATGAATGAACAAATGGAAAGGTAAGACCTAAGTAAGGAATAACACTATCGAGAGACCCAGATTCCTTAAAAAGCAACTGGTATCTATCTGGTCCTTACTGACACAATACAGTAAATATCTCAGTACAAAGATCCAGCACTATTAGCAGAAGAGTTTTTCACTGTCCCCAAGACCTTTGGAAGGAAAACAGAGTCGCCAGGGTAAGGACAATTTGTCAAAGGCCATACAAAAGATCAATATCAGTCTCAGGAAAACACCTGGATCTTTCAGCAGGCAAATGTCCTTTTCAGGAGGACTACACCCATCTGTACCATTTCACATCTACTGCAGAATTATCTTACATTGAGCACATTTCTGAAGAGTTAGGAAAACATATAAGCAGATGTTTAGTTTTACTGCATACAATTGAAAAACAGAAAGCTAGAACTTTTTTTTTTTTTTGTTAGATTTAACTGTCTTCTCTATTTATGTACATATTAAAAGTCAGTTTACAGTGCTGCTTTTTCCTGTAGAGTATGTATGTAAAAATACTCCACAAAACAGGAAACTTAGTTTAACCCTTCAAAAATGACATTAATGGAGCTTTATAAGTAAAATGTTACAATGTCAAAGAGAAAATCTGAAACCCCAAATCGGGTATGACTCTGCCCTTCTAAACATTTTGTATGGAGCAATCCCTATGTATTGTTGACTGCATGCTGAAACAGATCCTTTTATGGATCTGTTCCACTTCACAATGGCAAGTTTCCTGAACTGCATTTACTTCATATTTTAAAAGTTAAATGAATGATTGCCTATTAAATTTAGGTCAATACTGCAGCATTTCAGCTCCTGTGGAGAAGTACATCTTAAAGGATTGTATTAGTATACAATAAATTCAAGTAAGAGTACTGTAAATGACATCAGAAATTACCTTTTTAATTTTGTTTTTAGTTTTTATCATTCAAATTTCTCTTGTGAATATGTCAGGGAAATAGGTGGTTTTACAGAAGAAATAATTCTAATTGCCTCTGAGTTGAGTTGTGATCACAATCTAGTAAGAGGGAGGATGAGTACTCTACTGTGGGACTAGAATTTTAACAGATGTGGTAAATCTATCTGCAAACAATAGCAGCTTTGTCATTGAACAGTATCAAAAAAATTCTATGTTTTTCCATTATGTTTTATCTCTGTTGCTGTCTACCCTGCACTCTACAATTTATCCTTTTAGCAATCATTACAACTTGAATCCAAACTCTTTTCAATCTGTGTTTGTGTATATATATACCGAAGCTATCTGTTACCTATGATAAATGAAGGAAAATTTCTGTGGAAAGCTGGGAATAGCTCAAAAGATTGTTAAGCTACTTGAGACTAACATAACTGCAAGGAACTGTGACTGTCAGCATAAAAAAGGAGAAGAAAAAAATGAACAATGTTACTCGAGAAGTGGTGACCATAGTGAGTTCCTCTGAACAATGAGCAAGAAAGTTTTTCCTAATTTCAGCAAAATCTTAGGAGGAATGACACCACTGTGGAGTCTCTCCTAGGTGCCAGTCTCCTGAGCAAAGACATCACACCATTTAGTGAGATATTAATGTGAGCTCATTCTTAAATATGAACTTTCAAAGAGGATAGGAAATAATTCAACTCTTCAAGAATTGCAACCTCTTCATTTTTAATAGTTTTTCAAAGTTTTGTCTCTTTCTACACATGAACCACACTGTTGAAAAAACATAGCTTTGATAATCTATATAACTCTGCCAAATAGGAATAGGTGTTTTTAAAAATGCCTGGAAAGGACCTGTTTATATTAAGTGCTCTCCGTAACAAATTTCAAAGTCTTCTGATTTGAGTGTTGCTTAAACTTCTGCAGGAAAAAATGCATAATTGTTCAAATGAGAAAAGGTCATCTGTTACATAATTAAGATTATGGGAGTGGATTGTGGGAGCGGAACACTAAGGAAACTTAACTATACATGTCACTATGCTCTCCATCTGGAATACCAACACTAACACTACTAACTACTACTACTTTTGCAATGGAACATAGACAGCAGAACAAAGCAATCCATGGAACATCTCTGTCATTAGTAAAGAGGAAAAACACTAGGAAGAATCAGAGATGAGATTATGCATTATCTACAAGATACCACGCTGAAGAAATAGAAAGAGAGGGGGGAAAAAAGTCTGATTTAGCCAACTTCAGTTTCTTAGTGAACTGACCCTTGAACCCCTGAGTCATTAGTTTCCAAATACCCAATATTACTGTCCAATTACTCAGCAGAACATGACATGATCAATGACGTTGAAAGTTTTCAGCTGGTTGTACTGATCTAATATATAAACAAAACACAACTGTCAGCTGCTCTTAGTTCACTGCTGATGAAGTGATGGTTAAAACAATTAATAAATTAATGTTTAAACACAGAGGAAAGACACTTAATTGATATAAAAGAAAATGATTAACTAAGTGTGTGTGTGTGTGTGTGTGTGTGTGTGTGTGTGTGTGTGTGTGTGTGTGTGTGTGTGTGTGTGTGTGTGTGTGTGTGTACACACACACACACACACACACACACACATACACACACACATACATACATACATAAAAGAGAGAAAGACACAGAAAGAGAATTGTCTGGCTGGCAAGAGAGGTGTACTATAATTATTAACCATCCATAGTAGCTTATTTTAGGATTCTTTTCAAATATTTCCAGGTCAAAGAAAGAAGGATCACTGAGACTCCTGACCCCTCTTCAAATTACTGGTGACAAGGAATAAATATCAGAAAATGTCAATTATTACAAAATGTGAAAGATGATTAATTTTTGTATGAAAAGGCACAGAAGAGGGTGCTATGCAACTCTGAGGCAGGGCTCAAGCCCACGAAGGAATTACTGTAAACTAATGAGCTTCCAGGTGTCAGCTGAGCTTTGGTAACTAATAATATTTGCACTCTTCGCCTGAAGCAAACAAGAGGCAGAGCATGTTAGATCAATCTTCAGGGAGAGACCCCCTCTCTTAGGACGAGCAACCAAAATGAGAGGCAAGTTCACATTGATGCTCCACTTCAGTAAGAACAATTTAGCTGACTCCCTCTTGTCTGATCTGAGAATAGGAATAATTTCAGTTTTTAAAAGAGGCAATTTAATTTGTCTTTGACAACAAAAAAAAATAGATTCAATGCTATCCAGTTCCCTATGCTATCTTGCTTTTTTTAGAGGAAGAGCCTATGAAATAAGGCCTGTTTTCTAAAATAGACTATGAGTCAAATGCCACATTAGTCTCACTACAGAACTTATGCCCTGCTTAGCCAGGTAAGATGGGGAACAATCCAGCCATTTGGAAATCAGGATCTGAGCTAAGGAAAACAGAAGGGGAGAGAATGTAGCATGAAAAGAAATATTATTCTAAAATTCTAGAAGGCTACCATTTACAGAAGGAGTGAAAGCTAGAAGATTAATTTACTGTCACTTCAATTTCATTTCTTGTAAGTACATTTTTAATTCTTTAATTTAAAGTTCTGCTGCTTTATGTGCTTTGCCATTCTTTCCCTGGGATCTGTCTGTTTTGTTAGGTAAGTGCATGTTAGAAATGTTTGGCTATTAAAAGATGGTGCCAATGTTAACTATTATACAAAGGATTAAATCTTAACTAAGTAGTATTAAAAAGTAACTCTATAAACCTTTAGGTTATTGGTATTTCAAGGTTTTCCAAAGAAAAAAGACCAATATGAAGGATTAATAGCTAAGGTTATGCAAAATCCATTTAATCAGCATGGCTAATTTTAGCTTTAACTAAAGCTGCTGGCAACTATGTGCATTTTGCTTTTGGGCTTTACTTTTGAAGAGTGTGATGAATACATTCTTGAGGTAAATTTATCTTAACCGAGAGTCTACCTAATGCTCTTTAATTGCTGAAAAAGTGATTTTAATAGCATTTGCATTTAGAAGGGGAAGGAAGTCTTCAGCTGTGCATCTTTAAGATCCTAAAATATGCATTTTATTTTCACATTTATATAATGTACTGCTTGAACATGAAATAGGTGAGCTTTACAAACAATACAATTATCAACATGGGCATTGTTTATGAAGCAGAATTATTCTCCTGACATTATATGTTCTGTTTAGAAAAGAGACTAGGAAAATTGCAACATGCTCTGAAGATAGGAATACAATGAGTTGCTAGACTAACTGGGACACAAATGCTAAAGATGAGGGCCTTTCTTTCACTGACAAAGGCTACCTAAGTGAGGAAGATGTACAGCCTGTCAGCTCAAACACCTCGGGTATTTTAAGCTAGAAATATAAGCTTGCATATGACTCTTTCACAGCTTCAAAATTACAAAGGATTAGACTGTTCAATGTGAAGGGGATTGGATATGGATAGACTCTTAGTTAAGCAAAATGCTCTAAACACTAAGTTTCCTGACTGGTCAGAGTCAGATTGGTGAGGTACAGTATGGAGAAACCATGGGGACGCATATTTGTTGAACTCGACTTTAAAATTGTGAGCATCTTGTGAGAGAAACTCTCTTTTCCTTACCAAAATGATAGGTCATGTTTATCATTCTATAGTGGAATATATGATACAGGCGGAGAAGGCAGGTAAAATTAGAATATTGTTTTACATGACATTACTGAAATTGGAGGCTGAACTGACTGAACACATTTTGCGATAAGAACAAGTTCATTTTTTTCTGTATTCTTAAAATCCAAAATAGAGCAACTCTTAGGTGGCCAAATTGCCAATAGAGGGAAAATTTGTTGTGACAAATATAAATAAACAATCATGAGAATCTTTATTTCTTTTTTTGTTTTTATAGAGAAAACGTAGCAAAAGTTCCCAGAGACTTGTGACGCCACTAGACATCTTTCGTCACTCAGTCACAACAGAAAGGCATAAACATTTCATGAATCATGGGGATTTTTGATGAATGGACAAAAACACCAGCCAACAGAAGCAAAGTCAATAAATGAATTTGAGATAATCCTGCAGTAATCAAAGCTCTATTTAGACATGCTTTAGAGTATTTAATACATCTAAATACAGAAACTCAGCTGTGTAGCAGAAAACGATGGTGATGTAAGCTATTCTGGTGCTGGCATAGAACCAGCATGGCTGTGGATTTTGCTGGTTGATTCAGTTTCTTTATTTAGATGCTCCTTGTATTAGTTGCTATTTTACGGTCTTTTATTTTTATTTTTTGCTCTTACGAAAACGTCTGTCTGCCACACCTCAATTCTAAATTGTGTTATCTAAGATGTCTGGTCATCTGAAATGTATTTTACCTGCTACCAGCTGAGCTGTTCATAAACCTTCTCAGTGTTTCATTTATTTTATCTGTGCATTCATTTTATGCTGGTTTCATCTAATCCCCTCCTTTAGTTTCGTTCTGTGATGGTCATGTGCAACCAATATCTGTGTCTTACATCAAGAAGGTCTGTGTCTGCCATGTTCCCTTTATAAACACTTTAATCCATGACAGCAACCAATTAATTTGGTTGCACTTGATTTATGTGTTTTACAAATGTGTTACTGACTTATCTCTTCATTTTTTTCAGCCGTTTACATACTGCCTGTTCTGGCTTTACTAGTTGTTCCAGTTAAATGTTAGGTGTCGAAGTTAAATTTAGTAGCCTATAATTCTTCTTCATCTTTGTTTATTGCTTATTCTCATCCTTGAAATTGTAATATAATTTTAATTCCCCCTTGGTATCCAGAAGTGAAGATATAGAGTGATATTTCAGACCAAGCACTAACCAGTGAGTAACGCTTGACTATTCGATCAACAAATGACTTCAATGAGCAAAGGAGAAAGTTCTACTCAAATTGGCATGGAGAAGTGGCTTCTCATCTTTGGATCACAAGGTCTTTTCTTACTATCCGTACCTCTTGTTTATCCTAAACGTGTAATTCTTCAGTTTGAGAGGGGCAGTGAAGTAAAACATTGGCACTGTTATGTTGCTTAGTACAGCTCTTGTAAGTATTTGAACTCATCCTTGTAGACAGCTGTAACACTATATTAAATGGCATTCTGCTTTAAAATAAATCAATGTTATGTGCTACCAATTGGAAATTTGTTGTCTGAATTAAATATTCAATAAACAATACACTTAAAATGATACCTGCGGGAATTGGGTCTCTCACTAAGACATTTCCAGTGCATCTCATGACAGACTTGCAAGGCAACATTTTAATTAGTTAATCTCTGTGCAATGTTTTAATTTCAATTCCACAAATAGACATACATTTCAGTACATGTTAGATAAATAGACATACAAATAGACATACATTTCAGTACATGTTTGTTAGAATGACAGATACTACGTACAGGGTAATAGAGGAGATTCCTTGGAACTGTAGCAACTTGCTCTGAAACTTGGTCAAGGACCTGGACAGAGCTGGACAAGGCCCTGAGCGACCTGACCAAACGTAGAAGTTGGCCCTGTTTAGGGCTGGAGTTTGACCAGTTCAGCATTAGAGGTGTCTTCGAATCTTTGTTATTCTATCATGGTAATGGGAAAGATGCAGGTTCCCATAGTCACTAGGAACAGAACACAAAGCGAAGCAATGACTTCTTCAGCTCTGGATGTTTTCAGACTAGGAAATCCTTCTCTAGAGATCTTGAATCAGATTCAATTCTCTGAGGTCTAAACGGGCTTCTTACAGTTGGACTACATGATTCCAGAGCTTCTTCTGGCAATAATTCAGGTGAATCTTGTCTCTTTCTCCAACAAAATGTCTCAGCCCAAAATACTCTCATTCCTGTTCTTACTCATTGCTCTGCAATCTTAGTCTTCGGCAACCAGAAGAAGACAAAGTCTAAATCCAGCACTATCTTAACTTCTAAGCTGAAGAATTCAAGGTGTATGGTCACTTTTACATCAATTCTGTGGTTATGTTCGTTCATTTACAGAAGAAATGTGTTTCAAAAATTGCCTTACATATCTTCCTTGATTTGGTCATTTTGTAAATTCAAAATATGCTAATCCTCAGCCAAATTTTAACTCACTGATTTTCATGAACTACTGAATGCCAATTCCTTTACTCAATAGAGATAACTTTGTAAAAAACATGCGATGTTTTTATTATCTCCAGGTAATGCTAATTGCACTAGAAGAAAATGGGAGAAATCTTTAATATCTCTATTAGCAGAAAAGCTTATGAAAATGTGATTCCTGGGTATTTCAGGCACTTAGTAACAATATTCTAAATGAAACAAATTTACATAGAGTCTTTAATACTAATTTTAATGAAAAAATATGAAACAAAATCAGACCTGCTGAGAAAATAGGTAACTTTTTAAATTGATGTTCCCTGAGCCACAATTAATTTAGATTTAATAGGACAGTTAATATATGTTATTTGAATACTCGTTATTAAGCATTCACCAAAGATTAAAAATGATGTAATAAATTCATAACTGTGACCGATATGAACCTATAGCATATCCATAATACTCTGCAAATATGTTTTAGTATGTGGTTGCTATTTATCTAATATTCAATAACTTTTATGAAGTTCAAATTAAATACTTAAATCTCAATTGAAAAAGTTTCTGGGAAATGCAAAGCAGAAAATGGAGCATGTTTATTGTGCTGTCTAAGAAGACAGAATCCCACTGTTTTGAAAAAAAATCAAAAAAGTGAGTAATCTGTAGGGCCTGGCGGAACAAGAAGTTTTCACTGGACAGTGAGAGCATTTCACAGTTGCAGAAATTTCTCCTGACTCTATGTCAATATGATTAAGGACACAAAAACAGGATCCAGAAATTCTGCTGATGTTGACTTCGAAATGCATTATTTTCCCCATTTCCTTTCTCCTTGAGAAGCAGACCTATAATGATGTCTTAATTGTTAGTTACTATGCTTCCTATTCCTTCATTTTTTATGGCTTGCAAATTGCTTGCCAAAAGCAAAAACAGTCCTAGGGATAAAACATATTGGGAAAGGATGAGTATGAGTCTTCCTGGAGATATCTTGGACCATTTTTTTGCTATGTAATTGTGTGTGGCATGAAGATGGCCTCCCTAGGACAGGAAGGCTAGATGTGGAAGCAGCCAGACATGCCAAAATGTACTGCCGTGGCTCCACCTGCTGAAAGGTGCAGAATTTGGAAGGAGTACCACGAGAGCGCTCCTTGCTTCTCCTACCCACTCACTGGATTTTTCCATTCTCTGCACAGTACTGGCAGTGCCACATACCTTTCTCCATACAGGGTGTAGATGCATCTTGCTCACTTGGCAATATCGAGAACCTCGACCTCTGTCTCAAGGGCAACATGTTACTTTAATATTACTCGCTGCAAAAATAGGAAGCCAGTACCTATCCCGCGGAACAGACCGGCTATAGGAGCAACTTATGATATTGCCTGCATGCCATTTGCTGATGCTGTTGCCATGGAAGAGAAAAGTTGGAAAATACCATATTAAAAAAAAAAAAAAAAAAAAAACAGATTTCCACCTATTGATTATACTGATAGGTATGTTAGATAAGAGATAGATATAGACTTGTTCCTGAATGTGACCATGCTCTATAGACTGCTATTCAATTATCTCTTTACCTACCCATTTTTCACCTTATGCTTGAGTTTTTACACAGAAAGGCATGTCTTCCAATCATTCCTGTTTAATCATTCCTGTGATACTTCACTGAATTCTTCTGTTTTAAAATTCCCCTTTGAATTATAAAATAATTCTGAAATAATTTAATGTTTGCAAACTAATCCCCAGGTAATGAAAATAAAGTCAAGCTAAAATATTGCTGAAATATTTCACTTTTCAAGTAGAAAAGAAAGTTATGCTCAAGCATAGTAAAGAGAAAAAGCCATTCGAGAAAGCAACGTTCCTTTCTTCAGTTTGTAGATGCCATTTCAGTTACTTTGGCAGAATTATAATATTTGTCATTGCAGTCTTTCACCTTTATTAACAAAGGTGAAAGATTTGAGCATAAAATTCTATTTCAGAATTAACTCATAAAGTAACTAGTCATTCTGTCCTATTCCAGAATTTCAGCTCTCTTGTACACATGTGAGTCTTTCATAATGGATGGATTTTAGTCCAATTTTCTTTTTAGTCCAATTTTCTTTTGGTCCAATTTTTCTTTTTAGTCCAATTTTCCTTAGTGAGTTTGAAGGTAGAGGCACTGGGACTTGTGAAAAAAAACACCTTACATAGTTAAAATGCACAGATTTTCTATAGCTTACCATATTCTTTGTTCAATTATTTATAGATAAATTTCTTTTCTTTTTTTCTACTGTGTCCTTTTCTCCCCATCTGCTTTTCTATCACCACTTTTCTCCATGCTTTTAAAACATCTGCTTCCTAGAGGTTTCTCTCCCTGTATCTTCGTTTATGAATCCTTTGTCCTTAACTATGTTCCCCTGCCTTTCCCTCTCCGGTCTGTAACTCCTACTATATCAGCTGGCTGGGGATTGATCTCTGAGCCCATCTGTGCTTTTTATGATCCTCCCCTTTTGCTACTTTTCCTATAATGCAGGTTTGGTGCATTCCTGCAGGACATTCTCTGCCTTGTCAGCATGGGAGTCAGCTGCCTCTTGCCTCTGGGCAGTGTGGCCTTTTTTATATTCTTTAACTACCATATTAACCTTTTTCCTTCTTTTTTCTTTCAGATTTGTCTGCTACAGCTTGAGATAGTGGAAGGGAACAGAATCTCTTGCTTCAGGCGCCATAATACAACCAATAAAATTGGGACTTTTCCAGAGTTAATGTTTTGTAAAGTCTAAGGTGGTAAGATTGGAGAGTGAAGGAGATTCTTCAAAGTATTCATGCTAAGGACATTTAACTTCTGAACCATTTGAATGCTTAAGCATCAGGCAGCTTTTCTTCCATATGTATTGTTCACACAAG